ACCCAGTAGCATTATTTGGCACTGCTTTCACTTACCTACTCGGTAGGCTTACCCAATGGGTAACGTTCATGAATACGACCGCAGAAATGTCAAGCGCTGTGTCCGGTGAAGCCGAGCACACGAGTCGCGTGAAAATTGATGAAAGGCCCTAACTAAAGCATTCGTCAAGTAACAAAGAATAATGAGTTTGCAGAGACCATTTCCTTTATGATTCGTATAAAAAACGATTTCTCCATGAAAAATGAAAGGGGACTTTTGGATAAAAATAAAAACAGTTTTCTTACAAAACTCTCACCAAAAGGATTATGTTCTCCTTGGACGATCAAATTTCCACTAAACTCATTCACATGTCGACTCGGTAGTTCGCATTCTATCTCAGCTTCAAAGTCAATAGCACCTTCCAAAGTAGTTATCGATGCCGTAACTGGTAAGGCCTACAGAAAGAACATGTAAACAGTTGAAAGCGAAAGCTATCAATCGCTAGCTATTCACCTGTTTGATTTTCAAATTCGTTTCACCGTCTAAATTGGAGGTCTCGATATAGCACATGCCTTGAGGTTCGCTCGAGGATAATAAAAGGAGATCAGCGGGGAATAATTGATCATTGTCTATTCTTACAATATCACCAACGGCAACCTGGAAAAAAGACAATAACAAAAGGAAAGTGTGACTGGAACGGAAACTCACCGCTCTCCATTCTTCATGCTGCCAGCTGCCATCCTTCAAGATTAAAGTTGGAAAAGAGTTTACTTGATGGTCGGACCGCCGCCTTTTCTGCAACAAATATGGAAAATAACCAAAGATGTATGTATCGATAGATGAAAACTAACAACGTCTTCAAATATCTCCTTAATGGCAGAAACAGTAAGAATCAATATAAAAGGCACAGCTGTCGTATATCGTCCCGTAGGGCTAACATCCGGTATTTGCTGTAAAAATAAAACAATCAGGGACCAAAAAGCTGTGCACATAACGAAGCATACCTGTAGCAGAGCTATCATCAAGAAAAATACATTATTATACCGTCGAAACTGCTCATAAAGAAATCGTGGCAGAAAGGAAAGTGCATTATATTTGCA